TCAGTTTTGTTGTTATATTTTTGTCTGCTTCAAGAACTTTCACCATTTCAGTTATACCAACTTTCTTTGCTTTATGAAAATATTTTGGTTCAGCAAAGACTGCTATTCTATAACATTTTCCATTGTTTGTGTAAAGAACTATTCTGTCAATGAACTTGTATTGTTTGTGTGTGTAAACTTTGTTTTGCTTCAATTCGAAGAGATACTCAAATACGTCCATCTTTTTATTCTAAGTAAAATGTCATTTCCGAAAAATAGAAGCGTAAGTGTTTCAAAAGGTTTAATGGCGGTGGCAGATGTGAAGTTAAATTCACCAACTCAAACAAACAGTCAAAGTGTTGTTGTCAATGTCAAAGAAAGAGATGTTGAAGTGGGGAAACCATACGAAGACGAAGATGGTATAACAATAGTTCCTGTAAAAGAACAACCAACATACCCTGAAGTTAGCAGAGACTTAAGTTCTGTTGCAGATATTCGAAACGACTACCAACAACTTAAAGACAAACTTAAAACTCAGGAGAAGATTTGTCAAGCTTTGGGTATAATGTTAAACTTGGTCGAACACAACCCTGTAAAAGTGAACTCATATGTCATCGCACCTCATGAAATTTTGAAAGAACTATTGAAACTTTTGACAGAGGCAGACGATATAAACATCAAAGAAATAGAACCCGACATTGTTGCTGTGGTGTTTCATATAATGTCATTGACAAGATATACGTTATGAAAGGAGGTGAAACGTTGAACTTAAAATATAGTTTCCCAGACGTCATAAAAATATTTGACGACCACAACATTTCATTAAAATTTACTTGCTAAGTAAATGGCAGAAGACATAGTGGTTTATACTATTACGACTAAAAACCCTGAGTCATATAATTCTATAACAACAAACTTACAAAGTCCTCAAGGACGATATTGTAAACTGACCTTAAACACGATGACGACTAAAGCCTGTTTTGCTCTTTTGACACCAGAAGACTTTGTTGTTGTGAATGGTAAAAAATACTTCTTTGAAGATACTTACTCAGATATACCACCAACAGGTTTTGTTGACTTATTTAATACTTTAAGGACGGATGTAACATGTGCTGCAACTAGAGCAGGTTTCATTATGTTTGGATGTCCGACTGAGTTTACTATAAACGATATGAGCTATAATACAAAACTTATATCTGGTTTTTACTACCAACAGTTTCCTATAACAGGAAAAGGTGTCATACAAGGAATGTCTGTTCCATTGACTTTAAGTACACCTATTTTATATATTGTTTCAAACTTAGGTTCAAAGTGCTATTCGAATGTCGACAGAAACTACTATGACCAAAAGATACTCATGCGTATAAACAACACTTTCTCTGCTGGTTTGCCTATTGTTCATTCGAATGCAGAGTTTTCAGCTTTAGTAAACTCAAACACTTTAGCAAACATAAACTTAACCTTAGTTGACGCAAACTTTGTTCCTGTAAAACTTTTATGTCCTATGTATTTGTCAATGACGGCAGAAAGTTTCGAATTGGAAGATGCAACTGGTGAAAGTATTGTACTACAAGAACAACTTCAACAACAAATAGCTCAAGAACAACAAATGCAACAAATGAACAAATGGAACAAATGCAACAACAAAGTCAAGAATAAAAAAAATATTTTTTTTTATTTTTATAAAAATGTACAGAATAGACGTTTCAGATTTTTATGACTTCCAAGCGTTCAGAAATATGTGTCCATTTAGAGACTATAACAAAGCAGTCGAGAATTTGAAACGTTTAGTCATTTATGTTGACTCTGCCCCAGAATGTTATGTCATGAAAGAATGGGATGTTGTCTTTAACAAACCAAGAGCAACCATAGTTTCAGAACAAGAATGTAGACAGAAACTTAAGAAAATAAAAGTCGTACAAGTTGGATGAAGATGTTAGATGCTTGGGATATCTTATTGTCAAAGTTAGAAGATTTTTCAGTTCGTGGTATAAAGTTCTATACACCATCTCCAAACTTCTATTCTATCTTCACTGGATATAAATACGAACAAGTAGAATGGAAAGAAAATGTTATAGAAGCTTGGTTAGACCATGTCAAAGAAATTATATGCAATGGAAACGAAAGAGTCTATGAGTATATCTTATGTTGGTTTGCAAACATCTTACAACATCCAAGTGCTAAAAATGAAACTGCTCTCATTATAATTGGAAAACAAGGAACTGGTAAGAACACTTTCTTTACAGATATCTTATGCAAACTGTTAGAGGGCTATTCGAACCCGAATATGACAAACTTAGAAAACATCTGCGGTAAATTTAACTCTTCAATAGAGAATATGAAACTTATAGTATGTAACGAACTTCAAAGTATAGATACAACAAAGGTTTTAAACTCAGATGCTTTGAAGAGTCTTATAACAGACAAAGTTGGAGTTGTTGAAAGAAAATATAAAGACCAAAGAGTTTGTGAAAATGTTGCAAACTTCGTCATGGTTTCAAACAATGTTGTTCCGATGAAGTTAGAAAGTTCTGACAGAAGATATGTAGTTGTCAGAACGTCAGATTCTCATATGCAAGATACAGAATATTTTGACGACTTAGCAGAAACTTTGACACCTAACTTTTACAACCACTTGTTCTCATATTTCATGACATTAGATATTTCTAAGTTCAATCCAAGACAAATTCCACATACCGAAGAAAGACAAACATTGTTAGAAGCAAACAAGAGTGTATATGAACTGTTTATAGATGAGACTAACTTTGAGTGTTTAGATGAAAGGTCATTGTACGATGAATATAAACAATATTGTCAAGATATGGTTATATGGCAGCGTCTAAACGAACATTCTTGGCAAATGTCAAAAATCTTTTAGATGTTCAGAACGGCGTATATACAAAGAAAAATTTTTCTGAGTAAATTTTAAAAAAAATATTTTTTTATCCGATAGAAAAGATGACGAAATATATTTCAGTCAACAATACATGTCAGGACTTAAAGAAGAACTAGACCCATTTATATTTGAATGTTTACTTCTACCATTTTGAAAAGTCTACATTTGACAAAGTTTGGAACATCGAACCAGTTAAGTTTGCTATTGTGACTAAAAATGGTGCGAAATTTGAAGACTTAGACATAGAAGGTTTGTTAGCAGTCAAAGAAAATTTTGACAGAAGGTTCTCAAACCTTAAAGAAGGCAAAGCATACAAACTTGTTATACCTTATGAACCAAAGAAAGCAGACGACTATGAATATTATGAGTCTAAGATAGTTGAAGTTCAAGGTAAATTGGGTAAAAAGATTTTAGAGTCTAAGCCAGTGTTTGCTCCTAAAGAGGAAGAGAACATTGACATTGACCCAGAAATGTTCTAAAAATAAAATTTTATTTTTACATGTCAAATTTCTTCTCTGGAACTGGTTCAGGTTCTTTCTTCTCTTCTTCTACTTTCTTTTCTTTCTTTTCTCTCTTCTTCTTCTTCTCTGGTGGAGTTATGTCAAATTTCTCAGAACCATATTTATGTAAAAGTTCTTTGTCCTTTAATAGCTCTTCTATTCTGTTTTCTATTTCATCTTCAAGAACAGCGCATGTGCCTTCTTTGCATTCTAAGAACTTTTGTTGGACTTCATCTTTCCAATCGGCGTCATCTCTGTCAACAAGTCTGTCATTGACAAATTTTAAGACTGCTCTTTGTAATGTTTTATGGTTCTTGTCATATTCCCAGAAACAGAACTTTAGAACAAATTCACCTTTCTTGTTTACACTATGTAAGATTTTATGGTCGACAGAGTTTTGAGTCGAAAAGCTTGTCTCGAATATAGATAGCGAAATCGCTAGACATTTTCTAAAAGATAAAAATTTTAATTTTTCTAAAAATATGTTAGAAAAAAAGTTTGCTGACATTGACAAGAAATTTGAGAATGTTTTAAAGAAGAACAAGAGGAAGTTGGAAAATGCTCAGATAAAACCCATACATGACAAGTTCTTATTTGCTCAGAATGGTATAACAGGTCTAATTGCACCACCTGGGTCGGGTAAGACTTTCACTTATCTTAAAATGGCTGCACAACAACAAGAACTAGATGAGAAGAACCCATTCTATGAGTTAGTTGTCATTTGTAGTACTTCTGGTCAATTTGACCAAACCGTCAATTCGTTCAAAGATATTATAAAGAAGTCTAAGTTAGTATGTATAAAAGACTCTGAGTTGTTAGATTGGATAAAGAAGTACCAAAGAAGAGTTTTGAAGTACAATGCTATAAATGAGTATATAAATTCGAAGTTTAAAGACCCAAATGAGGAAATGCAGAGAATATTAGAGAAGAAACACTTCAGAAACAAACAGAAAGAGATAGAATACATTTCGAAGAAATTGCAATCGTACGATTGGAAGACTTACCCTCATAGATGTCTTCTTATCTTAGATGATTTGCTTCTCATCCTTTGTTAAAGAACAGAGAACAAGACATGTGTCGAATTCTTAAGAAGCTCAGACACTTTAACATCTCAGTTGTCATTTGTGTACAGACAGCAAAGAGTTTAAGTAAGGATGTAAAGAGAATACTTACTGATATCATACTTTTCCCTGGATTGTCCGAAGACGATTTCATGGAACTTATGAAAGAGTCCATGGCAGGTAAGTTTGACAGACATGAACTATGGGAGAAGTACAAAGTCATACAAGACCCTCATACTTCTTTCAGAATTCACATCTACGCGAACAAAGTTCAAATTGTAAAAAGTCAAGCTTGAAAAATAAATGGTTCATTTACTCTGCTTGTTTGAAGTTGTCAAAATACTCTGTTATTTTTCACTGTTTTCATGAGTTTTGGCGACCAGGGTTTCTTCCCTACTCGCTGTTCTTCACGATTTTCATACGGAATCTCTTCTCTCGGTTTTCCGAGAGAAGCAATCTTATGTCATTTTACTCAGAATTTTACTCAGAATTCAATAAAAATATATTTTAGGGTAGAAGGGTAGATATAACCTGTTTTCTAACCTCTTTTCTACCCCAGTTATTTTATAAGCGTTTTACATGGTAAACATTGTGAATTCGTGAAATTCTAAACAATTTCGTAGCTTCTATTTCTTCTGTCAGTACATCGAATGTTTTAACTATGCCGAATGTTTCTTTATATTTCTTCTTGACATCTGAAAGAAGGAAATCGTCAGCTGTTGGATAGTTTTTGTTCAGAAATGTCAACATGTCCATTTTATCTTCTGCTGGTTTCTCTACTTCTTTCTTTAAGTCTGCATAGTCGTTTCGCATACGTTCTATCTCTTTGACGGAGTAGTTATATTTCCTCATTGCTGCTTTACATTTTGAACATTGCGGGTTCATTTTAGCATTGTACATTGAAATCTTACCTGCTAGTATGACTAAGGCGTCAATTGCTCTCTTTAACTCAAAAGTTGCGGGTTTTATCTGTTCATTCCATATCTTACCTCTTCTATCTTTATCTCTTATCTGCCATACACATTCAGCAACTAACGAAACAAAGTTGTCGTAGGTCTTAAACTCTTCAGATTTATATATGTCAGAGATGTTCTTATATACCATGTCGCAATCTTTGTCCATGACTTTGTGGTTGCAATGAAATCCAAGAAACTCATAGTTAACCTTTCGTATGAACTTCTTTATTTCTACTGAGTCAGTTGCTTTGACTTCTATTTCATCGAATTCTGGAATAGTAAGCTTTTGTTGTTGGATTTCAGGCAATTTGGGTAAATGGTCAATAATATCCTGCATTTCATAAAGATACTGTTCATTTGTTTCATCTTTCGCACTACAGTCTAAATTACTTGTTAAAAGTTCTTGCTTTATCTTCTGGATTTTTGTTTCGAAAGTATATGAAGAAGGAATGAAGCTTTTCATCTCTACTAACATTGAAGTTGGGTTCATGACTAACGAGTTTGGTGCTGTTGTTGCTAACATGTTCTTACAATAAAAATAAAAAATATTTTTTTAAAAAAACCAACTTTATTTTTTATTTCGGGAAAACTCATGACAAATTCAAGAGGGTAGAAAAGAGGTTAGAAAAGAGGTTATATCTAACCTTCTACCCTAAAATATATTTTTGCCGAATTCATGAGTTTTGGTTGAAAGAATACGGTGGAGCCAAAAGTGGCTCGACCTCAAAACAAGCATTTTCTGTATAAAATTCATGAAAATTCATGAGGGTAGAAAAGAGGTTAGAAAAGAGGTTATATCTAACCTTCTACCCTAAAATATATTTTTGCCGAATTCAGCAACAAAATTCAAATTGTAAACGGTTTAATAGAAAAAGTGTAATTTTTTTCATGTCCGAAGACTCGAAGGTGCAACACTTCCAAAATACCGACGAACTCAGAAGAGCAGCATGGCAGTATGTTCTTGACAACTTCTTTGAGTTCTCCAGGTACACCTTGGAAAATGCTGAAGAACTCCGACACAGAGAATTTGGAGAAATTGCACTCCAATACTACCTTGACAAACAAAGGGTAAAATAAGACTAAAAACTTAACGTTTAAAAAGTGACATTTTTAATGAGCTCCGAGTCACCGAGAAAACTTGGTCAGATGTTAGCAGCTTACTTCCCTGAGGAAGATGGAAGCGTTACATACGTAAGGTTCAAAAACAACGAACCTGGAATTGCGTACCAAATTCGCAATTACATGACCATGGAAGAGTACGAAAGGTTTCTACAAGAGAAACCAGCTCTAAACAACTCAGAAAAGAAAGAGTAAAAAGTTTAACTCGTAATTGTTTATTTTTTTACTTGTATGGGCAAGCTGCAAGAATGAAGTCGACTATCTCAGTCTTTGTCTTGACCAGTTGGACTGCTCTTGCGAGTACGTCTGTTTTGCGGTCTCCAGCTGGTGTCTGACCTTCGTAATTGCGCATGTTCTTGAGAGCTCCAACTGTAAATGGCTGTAAGATGAAGAGTCTCTCAGACTGCTTGAGGTAGTCTTCACGGTCACGAACCGAATCTGTGGTACGAGTCGAATTGGTCGACCTTAGGGAAGAGACTGAAAGCCTGTCATCTTCCATAGGGGCTGTGGCATACTCTTTGCGTAAACGGTTCAGACCTTCTTCGAACTCTTGGTCTCTCTTCGATTGGGATTGAGATTGGAATTGGGGTGGAGGGTTTGACATGAACATCCAAGGGTTAGGGAAGTAAGGCATGGGTTGAGGAGGGTAGTTTGGAAAGCCTTGTGGTGGGTAGTTTGGAAAGCCTTGTGGTGGGTAGTAACCTTGAGGTGGAAATTGGTAGTAATTCGGAGGTCCTTGTTGGAACTGAGGTTGCTGAGGAGACTGTTGTGGTGCTGGAGCATGCTGTTCCTCTGGCTGTGGAACGGGTTCAGTAGGTGGGACGTCGGACATTCGTTTGTGTCTTAACCGTCTTTGTTCTGAAACAATATAATATTGTCTTGAAAAAGTACAACATTGTCTTGAAAAAGTACAACATTGTCTTGAAAAAGTACAACATTGTCTTGAAAAAGTACAACATTGTCTTGAAAAAGTACAACATTGTCTTGAAAAAGTACAACATTGTTCTGAAAAAGTTCAAGACTTGTTCTGAAAAAGTACAGCTGTCCTCAAATTTGAGAGACATTGTACTGAATTTATACAACATTGTTCTGAAAAAGTACAACATTGTTCTGAAAAAGTACAATTGTCTTGAAAAAGTACAACATTGTCTTGAAAAAGTACAACATTGTCTTGAAAAAGTACAACATTGTCTTGAAAAAGTACAATATTGTACTGACTCAGTATGGAGCTTGACCCCTTAGACGAAGCAATTTATCTAATTGAGGTAAATGAAACCGTGAAGGAATATCTCAGCAAGTGCAAACCAAGCAAGTCCATTGGCTTCTGGTTGTCCAAGAATAGTGTCTTAAAGTTGGAAATTGAAACAGGTGTTGCAATTCAAGTTCCAGAAGGCACTGCATTCGATGATATTAAGGATGTGAAGAAAGAAGCCCTCTTGAAGTTCTTCATGAAACGTCCTTGGATACTACTTCCATATCGTGAGAGCCCAATTCCACGAATTACACAAATTCTCAGAGCACTACTTCACTACTCTGGACAGCCGTTCTTCATAACCTCAGAAGGCGACATCCAACCAATTCTTCAGCCAGTTCAGTAAACATCTCATTTTAACTTCACTTTTTTTTATGTTTTTACTCACACTCGTACTCAACAGGTTTGTGTACAACTATTTCAACTGTGAACCTTGTATTGACCGGTCTTCCTGCAAATGCAAGTTCGGTCAATACACAATTTATGGTGGCAAGAAAGACAGTGGGGAATGTTATTCTGACATCTGTTGTTGCGCTCGAGAGAGATTTGAAATTTCAGAGCCACCTCCCCCAAGAACTCCAACACCAACACTCAAGTTGCCAAAGACTCATGTGAAGAAGAAGCCTTCTGGTAAGTTTCTTATAGCCATATACATGGCACGCTTTGAGTAAAAACATTTTTTTCATTTTTTGAATGAAGCAAGTTAAATTCGTTCCACACCAATCTCAATGGACCGATGAAGAGTTTCAAGCCATGGTTGAAGGTGTTGAGAACGACATAGACGGCGAACTTGAAGGAGCTCAAACCACAATTGCAACCAAAATTGCAGGAGTCAAGGAACAGATAGCTCCACTTAAAGCTACCAAAGCTACTCTTGACCTCATGGATAGTTACCGTTTAGATGTCAAGAGTGGAATAAGACATTTAAAATTAAAACTTCTAAACTACGAAGCTATACTCCAAAAGTTAGCAGAAATGAGAAGACTTTACCAGAGCTACTTACATGTAAGGGACTTACCTTCAAGCAGTCCGACCAAAGATGAATTTTCTGACATTGTCCCAATTTTGTCCGAAAGTCAGCTCAGATGTTTTGAACTGCTCCCAACATATCCAGAATATGAACGTTTGCCTGAACTCTTCCGCAATCTCAAAAAACGTTTTTTGGTTCTCATGTTCGAAACTTTTATCGGAAGAGACAACAAACGTTCAGAAGAAGAACAAGATATTATTTTAAACTTGTTGTATGACATAACGTCATAACAAGCTTTTTGAAGTAAAACCGCCATTCTCAAACCACTTCATTTTTTCGATGTCCGAACAAGCACCGAAGCCAAACTCAATGGCAGATGTCCTTTCAATGTTGCCAGAAAAGCGCCCAGTTCAAATTCAAATTTTGAATTGAAAGCTCATCTGACAAACACCGTTAAGACTCTCCAAAGTAGTCTTATGGAAGAGATGACCAAGCTCAAAGCCGATGTCCTCATGAACCAAGCTTCCAATGAGAAATGCCTGAATGATTTGACGGAAACCTTGCGCATTTACGAGAGAGAGAACCGAGACCTTGCCAGACTCATCTACCGTTTCTTCGAAGAGATAGACGCCATCTGGAAGGTACTCGGAAAGGACAGAACATGCAACACCGTACTTCGTGAACACAGAATTGAAGAAGGAATTGTCGAGGAAGAAGAGAAACACGAAGAAGAGGAAGAGGAAGAAGAGGAAGAAGAGAAACACGAAGAAGAGGAAGTTTGGGCAACCCTTGTTGCCGATGACACTTACGAAATTTCCCAACCCTACCCATACCAAATCCGCAACAAGGAGACAGGCAAGGTTCTTACCCCAGTCCTCAACAACTTGGGACACTTGAACCTTACCCTTCGGAATTACGGTTCAATTTCCATGGGCAAGCTTGTCGCAATTCAATGGGTTCCAAATCCAGACAAGAAGACGAGGTCAGACACATTGACGGTGACAAGCTCAACAACCGTAAGGAGAACCTCGAGTGGTTCTAAGAGTAAAAAAATTTTATTTTAGGGGGAAACCCCGAGTAAATTTAGGTGTTTATTTGGTAAGTAGTGAAATTAAGGTAATTTGGACAATTAGTTCCCGACCTCTGAATTGGACTCTTTCGTCATCCCAGTTGCGTAGGAGGTCGTCCCAGAGGAGTTGGTAGAATTGCCAATCCAAGGACGATTTGTCCTCCCAGGCATTGAGGATGTACTGCTCGTAGAGTCTCATGACCTCTGCCTTGCACCAGACACCCTCTCCCTTGGAACGTAAGGCTTCTTCGAAGTGCTCGAATGCGATTGGCTGCGGACCATCTGAAATGACACTTTTTGTCCGTTTGGTCAATGTTCGTGTCTCGTGCCATAGTCGACGAAAATACAAACAAACAGGTTATATATGAGTTTGAGACCAAGAATGGTGTAACTCGACCTGTCCGATTCAAATTCGAATAAAAATTTTTTACTTCATGCAATGTTTTATTTCTGTGCCGTCTTCAAGTATGCCCCAGTACTTACGCTTGGAGAGGACATGAACTTCGGTGAAAATTTTGTCCAATTTGAATTGACCCATCTTTTCACCGACCATTCCCATTTCAATGAGTTTGTTGTACCTTCTTCGTTCGTCATGAGTGCGTCAATGTTCTCATAGTAAACCTTCACTTTGGATTTGACTTCGGAGAAGAATTTGTTGTAGTTGTCAAGGACTGCCTTTGCGAACTGAGGGTAAGACCAATGTTCGACAATAGGTTTTACTGTGGTTACTAAGCCACCTTGACCTTGAGTAATTCGTATTTCAAAACAAAAGGGGAGAACCTTTCAACAAAGTTGTCGACCTTCTCATAGTGTTTACTCTTCATCTTTTGAGGTTTTTTTA